GCAGTATGCCAGTATGTAAAGCTTTTGAGTTCATTCAATTATTTGACATTAGTGTAAATATAGCTGAACTTACAGTATGACTGAAAGTTTGAGTAGCTAGACACACTCTCATTGGTGAAAAAGGTGGTAATTGTATGTGCTGATCTTTAAGCTTTGGTGCCAACCATGGAACTTTATTTTTATCGATGTTATAAAATTGTATTATATCAGACCACGAGTATACTTTATTTTTGTATATAAAATCATATTTTTTTTAATTGTTCCGTACAGATTTAATTAAGTGAGGTGTGTCATACATAAAATATATTTTTTCATCTTCAAATGTCAAGAATGGTTCATCAATTGTTATTTTTAATAAATTTCTCAGTTTTTGATTATTTGTGCCCTGGTCACAAATTATTACTTTGGGTATTAAGTCTATAGATTTGAGTTTTTTTATTGTGGTCATAATAATAGTTTTCAATTTCAAACCCGAGATTGGACCTTTTGAAAAAAAATAGCCAACCACTTGTTTCCAAGGTTGTTTGATTCCTTTAACCATTATAACAAGAGCTTGATCACATAATAAATTATTTTTTGTTTCTATTATAGCTCCAAAGTCTTCAAACCCAGAAAAAACATCATTTTGTGAATTATATGTTACAAATCTTTTAATTGACATCTCATCAAAAATGATTGAAACTAACTGCTTTCTCTGATAGAGTTGACAATGTAAATTTATTCTTCATTATTTCTAAAATATTATCATTAAGACCACAAGAAAAATATAAACAATGAAGCCATCGCCTTAGTGATCTTATTGTTGGTAAGCATAGGTATTTTCTCATAAATAAATAACCTTTAGGGGAGTTATAATAAAGACTAAGTGCAAAACTTTTTTCATCCTCTTTAAATCGCCATGCTTTTTTTTTCATATTCATCAGTCTTATTTGTGTTTTTAAAAGAGAATTGTTGAATATTACTTGGCATTTTTGTTTGTTTATTAAATGTTTCTTCAGTTCACATATTAGTTTATTTTTTGAATATATAGATTTCTGATGATATCTTATTTTATTTTTAAATTTATTAATTTTATTTGTACACTCATTTAAATTGTGACCGGTGTTTTTTAATGAATTACCTAAAACCATACATTATTTTTATTATTGATTTTTTAAGATTTATTTTATTTTATTTAGTAAGTGTGATAATTCAAACATAATTTAATACCTACAAGAAAGAAAACTGTCAAAATCAGTTTGTGATTGTCCAAAGTTTAAAGATCTAGATTTATGTGCTGGAATTCTACACATATTGCTTTCTATAATAGCATAAAAATTATTTTTCAATGAGAACTAATAATATATTATAATAATTAATATGTATAATATGTTACTAGATTTACTGCTTGCCATTTTTGGACTCCAACCTGACAGTTTATCTACTGTTTGGATAGAAGTATGGTTATCTTTATTATCTATTGATGCACGCTCCTGAGTCTGTACATCAATATTTTCATTTATTTCCAAGTATTCAATCCTGGTTTTATTGGACTCCATCCTGGTACTTTATCTACTGTTAGGATTGAAACATTATTTTCACTATACACATTAGATGCAGGCGATGTTTCCCGTTCTTTTAAAGACATTTTTCCAGGAACAGACCATTTATACAGGATTCTTAATATTTTTGAATAAATGTTGTATATTATTTATATTATTATTATTATTATTATGAAATATTTTAATACCATTTACATTTTATTTCGTTTTATCTTTTTTTATCGGTCCAAATACAATAATCATTTTCTGTAAAATGGTTGGAGCAAATTGTAGAATATTTTATTTTTTGAAAGCCATAATTGACATAGTTATTAATGATACTTTGATTTTTACTCTGATCAACCCATATTTTACAACTAAAATCGTTAATTAATACTATTTTAATACTGAATTTAATATTATTTCATAAAAGTCTATAAAAATAATTATAGTAATAGTGTTTCAAATGTATCAATATTTACTTGTTTAACATAGGGTAAATCCATTGTTTGAGAAATTATATTTTTTTTTTTGTTGCTATATGCAACAATTTATCATTGAATTCATATTTAACATATCCATAATAGTGAATTATTCAATGATGAGGTACCCTTGATGCCTAACTTTACCCAATTTGTATATTGTTACATAACTTTTATGATATGAATGTTATTTTTTTTTAAAACTAGTAAAAATGTTTTTTTAATAAAACCATGACCTTTATTAAGATTACGTCGATAACGATGAACACAAATCACAATAAATACAATTAGTTCTTAAAATTTATTGGGGAAAAAACTAACAAGGAATTGCTATAGTAATAAAACAACTATTATAATTTATGAATTTCTTTCAATAAAAGTTAATTAAATTGCCAACAACTACTTTTAAAGTAATTTTTTGTACTAACTTTTAATGTAGTGATGTCACAAGGAAAAAAAGTCACAATTATATTTTAATGGATTCATATTAATAATATGTAATGTATTGAGCCTTACTGCTGAAGATTAAATTTATTAAGAGTGTAATTAAAACTAAACTTTAAATTTAACTTACAATTTATCATTTGTGGGAAATTTATGAAACGTTAATTCCGGATTTGTCCTGCTATTGTTCTTACAATTCCAAAATGAACAACTCTTGTGTGAAGGCATTTTACAATAGGTAGTTGGTTTTAAAAACAAAAGACTTAAAATGCAAAATATTTGGAGAAAAACAAACACAAGGAGAGATCAATCGAATACCATCTTCCCCACCATAATTAATAGAAAAAACCTTCCATAGTGTATTTATTTTTAGCTCAGATTTGTCGTATAAATGTTCAATTGGTTATTAAAATTATTTATTAATATTATAACCAATCAGTATTTCAAATAAAGGCGGGATATTTGAATAGAATTAAAATTGTTTTCATATAGGCAACTTATGTACACAAGGGCCGGATAGGCAACAACTACGATTTCGGGGGGCTATGTCGACGTTTGTTATCATTAACTGTCCCGTATTGTCATAAAGAGTATTTGGTTTTATTTAATCTGTGCCACTACTCTCGTCGAGCGCTACGTCGCTACGACACCGCGAAATTAATTACGCAAGAAAAACCGTTTTTTTTGCATTGTCCTCATAGCCGTCCCAAGGGGGGGGGGGCAAATGGGGCAAGTGCCCTAGGGCGTCAAGAGTATTATGAACTTAGGGGGCGTCATAAAATGAATAGTAAAAAGACAATTTGGTGTTTTTATTTTAGATATTAATTTTCTTTTTATATTGTAATATCGAAGATAAGTACCTATCAAATATTGTATATTATATCATATGCCTTGAATAATATATTAAATATCAATATCAATATTATCTGTGGATACTGGAGTGTTCGACCGTGATTGACTGTGAATCATGATTATTAAATATTAATATTAATAATATTAGTTTATTACCCAAAGATATAATATTATGTATACTGCATGGGTATTAATATCACTAGTTATCATTGATTATACTAGTATTCAATAATAAACTCATTATCAATTTTACCCACTTCTAAAAATAAATCGGGTTACAGTATTTCGACTGAATTCTGTAAATAAACATCACTTATTTACTTGTACAAATGTAGAATATACTATGTTGACTGTAGTTGTAGTGTTGTCTGTTGTGGCGTAATAATCATTACCTATATTAGTAACGTTTTAGTAATTAATATTTTACGTTACCTATTAGTTTTGTATTTTATTTTACTTACAAATGGCCAAAAAAAGAACGAGTGGTGCTCAAAATAGAAAAATATCAAGGAAAAAAATTGAAAAAGAAGAAGAACTAAAGAAAAAAATACCAAAATTATATACTTATTTTACTTCTCTAACTGATACTGTAACTTGTAAGTACATAATGCATAATTTAATCTAAACTTGAATTGATATTATTATTTAAGCCTAATACAGTAAATTAATATATTAAGTAATAATATTACTGACAGTAATACCTAAAAGGTAATATCTATTGACGATTTTTGAAATTCACAATAGTTTTCGCAAAATTGGAGAAAAATAACTTTAAAATTGCAATATAGCCTATAAGTATCAATATTAAATTTAAGGGTATTTGGACTGGATAATAGTTGAATAATACCTTCATATTACCAAAGTACACTCTCAAAATGTAGATACCTGTTATAAGTTAATATTAATAGTATTTTTTTTTGTTTATAGATTGAAAAAGACAGTGTAAATTTTAATGAAAAGTCTGCAGAAGTAATTGATAACACTATTCAGGAAATCAAATTGATAGCTGATGAAAATGTAAGTATTACATACTTAATACAATATATAGTTAATCACTCAACACATTTAAGGTCAATAAATATTATAAATATTTAGGTTTAAAACAGAATTGTAAAGAAAACTTGGATAATAAATTTATAATGCTTATTGATGTAACTGTATTCAATTTAATCTATGTAAACAATTAGGTTTTTATACTTTTATTTTTAATGATAACCTACGGTATGAAAAATAAAATAGTTTTCTAAATAAAGTTATGAATAAATTGTATGAATATATATAAATATTAATTGCATTCAATACTTTCTTTCCAGGATGAACACAATAATTGTAAATCAGAAAAAAATGAAATTAACTACAATAATTTGTTTAGTAAAGATCCAGCGAAATGGGTCATTAATGAGTCAGGACGTGAATATTTTTTGAAAAATCAAGTAACAACCAATTTCCAAGAGATACAATTTAATAAAACTTTTCGGAAAATTAGCAAGTACAATAGAAAACTACCACAGGAAGTACCATAGGAAGTTACTACAGAAAATTACTTAATGATGAATACAAATATCGTGATTGGCTTTTGTAATCCAAATCTCAAAATTCTCTGTTTTGTTTTTACTGTATACTTTTTGCTCCATGTAAAACTAAATTTAGCCTTTCTGGTTATATAGATTGGAAATATTGTTTGAATCATGAAAAGTGTATTATGCATAGAGAATCAGTATGGTTATGGTATTCTAGACAGCTTAATAACCCGAACTGTATTGACAATTCTCTTAAAATCAAAATTAAAAAAGAAGAAGCTTACTGGGTAAAATTTCTTCATCGACTGATTGAAACTATGTCATTTTTATCCACCAGAGGTCTGACATTTAGGGGAGATAATCAAATGATGAATTCTAAACATAATGGAAATTATTTAGGTTGCCTTGAACTTATATCAAAATTTGATCCATTTCTTGCTTCTCATATTGATAAATACTCCAATAAAAGCCGTGGAAATTTTTCATATTTATCTGGTAGAATATGCGATGAGTTCATTAATCTAATGAGCAAAACTGTCCTTGAAATTATTTATAAAGAGATCAAATTAGCCAAATACTTTTCAATAATTGTAGATTCTACCCCTGATGTTTCTAAAGTGGATCAACTAACAATACGATAAATCCGGTATGATGGTTCACCAGTGGAAAGATTCATAGGATTTCTTCCATCAGTTGGCCATAAGGGACAAGAAATGGAATTAGCATTATTAAATATATTTAAAAATTTAAGTATTGATATAACAAATTGTAGGGGACAATCATTTGATAATGCTAACAATATGTCAGGCGTGTACAATGGTTTACAAGCTAGAATAAAAAAAAAAATAAAAAACAGCAGAATTTGTGCCTTGTTCAGCACACTCCTTAAATTTAGTTGGTACATTTGCTGCTGAACTTACTAATGTACTAAATAATTTCTTTCTTACTACTCAAAACATTTTAATTTTTTTTCTGTTTCTACTTCACGATGGGATATTTTATCAAAAGAATTGAATAAAATCCCCAATGCTACATTACCAAAAAACTTGTGTCCTACACGTTGGTCATCGTGTTATGCAGTTTGTAAATCAATAAAAGTTGGCTATTCTTTCTGCTTTGAAGTTTTTATCAACAGACATAAATCAAAAAAATGCAACAAAACATGAATCAAAATCAATATATGATAAAATTAAATCTTTAGAATTTGTATTTCTCTTAATTATTTGGTCACCTATCTTAGAACGATTCGATAAAACATTAAAAAGTCTTCAATCAGTCAATATTGATTTATCAAATGTTGTTTCTTTATATGATTCATTATTACATTATGTGCATGACCAAAGAAATAACTTTGAAATATTTTTAGAAGAAGCTCAACAATTAAGTGGTATTGATACATTTTCCGGGGACAAGGCCAGAAAAAAAGAAGAAAACCCTTTTTTGATGAAAATCTGGAAGGTGAAATACAATATTCTAGTAAAGAAAAAATTAAATATGAAACATTTATTCCAATCATGGACGCATTGATCACGCTACTCAAGAAAAGAAATATGGCGTATACAGAATTGTATAGTAAATTTGGTTTTTTTAGTGAAATTGAAAAAATGAAGTCTTATGATTTAAGAAAACAAGCATTAGAACTAGTAAGAATGTACCCTGAAGATTTAGAAACAGAATTTGTCTAGGAAATTATTCAATTCAGAAAACATATATTAAGTTTTCCAGAAGGTATGAAAAACATGCAAGGCATGTTAAATTACCTTAATACTCCATCACTTAATATGACTTTCCCTAATGTTGAAATTGCCCTTAAAATTGTTGTTTGTATGCCATGCTCCAACACAAGTGGTGAAAGATCTTTCTCTGTGCTCAAGAGAGTTAAGAGTTATTTACGTTCATCTTTGGCAAATGAAAAAACATTGGCATTATCTATTTTAAGCATTGAAGATGAAGTTGTCCGAAGCATAGATTGGAATGATATTGTGGAAAAGTTTGCAAAACTTAAAGCTAGGAAAAAATCTTTTTTATAACCCAACAAAGTTTTATACATAAGGTTCAAATATTGGTAATATTGTAAAATATTTTATCCAACTGTTTTAAAGTTATTAAAACATTTATAATTATTAAAATTAGTTATTTGTTCTTATAAATTGAAATATTTATGAATATTTATGTTAATATATTATAAATAACTCATAATTATATGTACTTTATGAATAAAAAGATTTTTACAATTTGGATATACTGTTATGTGTACCTAAATAGTGATAATATATTTCTTTCTAGAATGTACTCAGAATAATGAAATCAGTTTTAACTTCAAAAAATCATAAAAAAAAATTAAATGAATTTATATAAATATGATTACAGCAATAATAATAAAAAAATAAGCAGGAACCTTTAATGAATTAGAGGAACGAAATCATAAATCTAAATTATACAAGGTTACAGAAATAATCTTATATTCATAAATCTCGACCGCGTGTTTTAATGTAGATAAGGAGTCCAGTCACAGTACGTTGATCTAAAGTTGATATTTTATGACAGTTAAGCTGGTTACACATTGAGTGGTTTGTCCGCGCGCGGTCGCGGTTTTTAATGTTTTTATCCGCGGCGGATAACCGCTTACAATTAAACATGGGTTATTTACTAGGCATATTCATACATGTAAAACAGCGCCGCCGAGCGTCGAGGACAACCACCTGCAACCGCCCATGTCAATTCCTGAGCGGAAAACCGCGTCTGCCAGCTATAATTAAACTATGGTTTTTCAATAGATCTGTTCACGCAGGCGATTTAATCGCCACGATTCCCTGGCAGTTTTTAAAATTTGTCATTTACGAAATTATTTTTGAAGTGAGTAGATACTATAATTTCATTCATATATAATTTCAAAGTTTTTCTCAACATGTTTGACATTGAAGAGTTTATAGCAGTGATACAAACTAATGAGTGTATCTGGAATAAACGTAAGTACCTATATTGTATAATTTTACATATTAAACGACTAAAATATTTTTTTATTTATTCAATACCATATTATAATATATGTATTTGAAATATAGAAGAAAGTAGTGGCTCGAGCTTGTACAGTATATTTCGACGAAATGGACGATAAAAAAAAAAAACAGAAAAAAGTATGTAATAAATAATTTATTTTTATTAGTTATTCGAATATGAAGTAATAATTATTTAAGTAAAATAAAAAAAGTATTAACTGACACAAATACTAGGGTAGTGATTATTAATTATTCAACACAGGTACGAGAGGTACCTCTATACGTAATACAATATTTTTAATCATTATAACATATTTAATGGATATTAAATTAATGATAGGTACATTTTGTGAAATTATATATTATCTGCCAATTATTGTATTATGCCAGTCAAGTGCATGGTTCGGGTTATTGACGTACTCTACAAAATACTCTCTGACGTCTTTGACATTTTTTTTAATGTTCCCTACTCCTCTTCTTTGAACACTCTCCATGCAGGAACTACTCATGGTATCTTCAACACTAAAGCCATCACGGCGACGTACAAAATTGTGTATCACACAACAAGCTTTTGTTATTATAACTGCAGCATCTGGCTCAACCAAAATATTTGTTTGAAAAACTCGCCATTTTTTAGACATGATGCCAAAGGTCAGAGCCGGATTAAGGATCAGAACCGCCCTGGAGCAATTTATATTTAATAGGTATTTCTTATCAAAAATTCCTTAAAATTATATATGTATTTCATGTAATATTATATCTATTTTTACATTCACCATTAAAAAGACGTCTTTCAAATATATTAGTTTTCTTAATTGTTTGCCATACAATCGTTTAGTATTTTTAAAATTGATATGGTCCCTATTTTCAAATGGTGGATTTTTTAACAAACAATTTATTATTTCAGGAGAAGTAAGATTTCATTCAGCTGGATCTCAACTTGGTATAGTGACGGAACTCTCAAATAATGATTTATCATAATTATTGCTATTGCCATTTAAACAATTATTTTCGACAACATTATCAAGTAAAGAATCTGTTTTATCACAACCTTGTATGATACAATTATCTACCGATTCGTTAACATTTATTATTGTTTGAGTATTTACATTTTGAATTTCAACATTAAGTGGAGAAGTCTACAAAGACAAAACAAAAAAAATGAGATGAAAAATCGTAATCTGAGCTGTAATTTTGAATTTAAACAAATTCTTTGAGTTTATTTTTACGAAACTTAAATTTAAAAAAAAATTAAATATATTATATCCTTATTTGATTAAGATGATGTCTAATAGCTTACCTTTTTAAAAAAAACCGTCCAATTTTTGATATTGTTCAATAACATCTTTATTTTTTTTTATTTTTTTCGATTGCCTTTTTACGATATTCATTACCACTTAATTTAATTCTTTTAGCACTCATCTTTAAACAACTATTATCGTCAATTGCGAACTTTCAACACTAACACTGATGTAGTGATAACCGATGACCGAATACTGACTTATTTGTAATTGTATCCAGATATTCTCTGATATTATTATTAACATCATTATATAATATATATTACTTTATATACACCAGATACGGGCATACCTACATTTAATAGGCGCATGCATGCACGTATTTTAACAAATATAAGACGATAACAAGCGTAGTCAACGACGCGACACAGGAAATCGATCAGACAAAACTGCAAAAGTCGTTTATTTATATCACGATTTTACAAAATTCTATGTAAACTGTGATTATTATTTATTACCACTGTAATAATGATTATATACGCTGTGCGCTAGTCCATCCTAATAATAATATTATTGACACATTATTTTACTATTTAGTGTCATAGCTTATCTATATCTATACTATTATATAAAATGGTAAGGGTTTTCTTAGACCGCGCTAACCGAGAAAACTACCGAACCGATTTGGCTGAAATTGTTTACTGTTATACTTTATAGTCTGCTGGAGGTCATAGGACCACTTTTGTTTAGAAAAATCCACCAGAAAGTAGGAAATATGGATGTCAAAAATACAACAGTGGCACAATCTGTATAGAAACAAACAGTGGTGTAGTGGAGGGTACACGCGGGTACACGGCGTGTACTCACCTCCCAATTTTAGATTAATGCGTGTACCCTTAACGAAAATCGTGGTTCGCGGGTACACGGACCATGAACCATACGTATAAGCGTTACCTAGTCAATACAATTTATTTAGGAAATATTATTGGGTAATATAATTTATTAAATTTTGATATTCAATAACAAAAAAAAAAAAATAAGCGTAATTTGTTTATTATTGTCATAGAACAATATAGAAGCGAAACTCGATCAGCTGATTTACGTTTACCTCCTTAATATGATCTGAAGTCTGAAACTAGAAAATGACTAAACTGACCACGGACGTATATACGTCCGTGAAACTGACTAAACGAGCCCGACAGTCCATAACCAATATGATGTTAGATCCTTGTTTACCCGTATTCAAAAAACGTTTGCGCGGTACGCTACGCAGGGTCGGCTCTTTTACCATCGTGAAGCGGCCGTCCAACGCGTACACAGATCTATTTTTAAATCATTAATTGGTAACTTTTACATTATTTTTGTTTTGTCCAGTTTCCAGTTATCAGTTATCGTTTCGAT